GAAGTTGCTCGGAAGGCACGCCAGATGGAGAGATGGAGTTCAGACAGAACATGTTGCATCAAAGTGGCAGCTCTATTTTGGCCCACATGATTGACACTACGTATCATAAACCATGCAATTCGAATGATGAAAAAACTACCCCATTAGTTCGGAAGGCATGCACGTCCGTACACCTGTGACAGGCGATGCAACCTGTATTCCGTCGTTTCAGTCGCCCATATGCTCACAGAAGGTGTTGTAGTTTCTTTGGTCAAGGAAAACGGGAGATGCTGACCCTAGATGGATTAGCTCAACAATCATACAACAGCAGTTACCCTGTCAAAACACAAGTCGTGTACCGGCCCGCGATCCAATTCATTAAAAGTGACCCGATCAACATACTTTTTTCGTAAATATGGAAATTAAGTGTTACTCTCCCGAAAACACTGGGGGCAACACCCAAATCCCATACACTTCAGTTACGGTCCTGGTGGTCTAATTGGCCAAGGTTCCCTTTAATGTGAATCCCTGTGCATACTTAGACTGCGCGTCACAATTCAACCACATAACATGTACTTTAAGATGACCTTCTAATCATTTCGTAAATGTATGGGACTACGCTGATAAATTATGGAAGAAAATTGTTCACCTACGGACTGGTGTCCTAGAGATCAACATTTCTACGGTGGATGTGAAGCAGCAAGTCCACAGAGCTAATAATCTGAAAAAAAACGAATACACTGAGCGTGGGAAAGCCATTAATCCAGGTCCCATAAACCGGGACGCGGTTTTAGTTATGGAGTTCAGTGCTTCGGCGGAACTAACATTCTCCTACAGCCTAACTTTCTAGGATTACTGAAAAACACAGATGAGAAGATTGACGCTGTTTTACTTGTGGTTGACGTTAAGGTGGCAGTGAGTGGCGTAAAGAGTTGATCAGCACATTTAATATTCTTGTAGGGGTGATGAGGTGGTGAAGAAACGCAAATGGCGAGTGCAGCGCCTCGAAAAATTGTGGCAAATCAATATGAAATGTGTTGAACTCCAACTATCGGTGTTACTTTGGTATAAATGTGGCACTGCTGGTCAGATACCAACAATACCGTCAGGCCTGTATGTTTATGTATAAAGCACCGGATGCGCCGGAGTTACGCCCCAAGAGATAGTACTGTTCGATTTCCCAAATTCGGTCCGTGCACCGAAGCGCGGTACATCTAGTTGGATGAAAGGAGTCACCGAAATGCTCGTGAGAAGATTGGCGACAAAAATGAGTACAGTATGAATAAAAAGAGAAAAACTAGAATTTAATTCGTCAGATGTAGTCATTATTTGAAATGAAAAAACGGTTGTAAGAGAGTGACTTTGATTCGGTGGCCGCACCAAATACAACAAGGAGTTAAAACACTGACTTCTGAAGGAGCTTTTAGCGTCAAGAGCGAAATGTAGTCACTATTAAAAATCTACGAAAACCAACTTGTACTCAAAACCTACTGAAATCATGAAATCCCAGTCGGTTCCAAGCCTATTCCGATATACTGAGTCCAAACAATGACATCACCAATTCCAAGGAATACAATTCGCGCCAAAAAGATTCGGCTATGCTGTGAGCATCCTTATGCACTTATGCCATGTCGAGGACTGAATACACTGGGAATTCGAAGAAGTAGACATAGTATAGGGAAACAAGAAAGAAAGGAAAGAAGAAGTAAGACTCAGTAGTGGGTCGGTACGCAGCACCGACGCCTTGCTGCCGCGCAAGCATCATCAGCCGCACGCGGGCTAAGAATACTGCGATGGTCGCCCGGTCTCTATGCAGGTTTGAACCCGCGCCGTAGGATTACAAAGTAGGTTTGTGGTCCATAAGGCTAGGGGAAGGCTTCGCAAACAAAACAAGCCGAAGCAGTCGACTTGCAGAACTGCGTAGGAGTACATGACTGACCACTGGAAGGCAACTGGAGTCCAACAGGTGGAAGAGCAGAAGCAATAGAAGAGAGAAGGGAATAAATGTACCTACAGAGAGTGGGTAAGTCAGTACAACTAGTTTCTCTGAAACCACTAAAAAGTAACACATACAGACGTAGGACGATGCTGAAAGTAAGAACAGCACTGATCTGGTTCCTGCTCGTTTTCTTCGAAAAATTGTAGTGCGCAGGAAGCTGGGTAAAAATGTGGTAAGGTGTTAATGCTGCTGCATTCAAAGTGGTGGTCATAAGTCGTATTCCCTGATAGAAGGGTGACATACGTGGATGGGACTACACAAATTACATTGTTTGGCTCAGACGAGAAATCTAAATGATAACGACACTTGAACAGATTCGTGCCGTCAAGATGAGACTGGACTTTAACGTGGTGCGACAGTTTTGCGTACTTCTTCCAACCACTTGAGCTATACTGGGCGGTGTACCCGGGCGTCTTGAGAGCTACTTCTACCAGGTTGGTCAATGGTTAGTGGTCAGAGAAACTCAGTCTCCCGGTCCTCTAAGTTGGGGGTTGGAAATGAGATGCTATCCATTTCTGTAAAACCGAATCGTTTCCCCTGCCCCAATTCCGTGCGGAGAGGCGGTTGAGCCAAAGGCTTTGGTTGAGAACCATAATCATCTTTCTGTCTTGGTTTGGACGCTATGGCAGTATCTCAGCCCACGTACACCCATGACTACTTCTTCAAACTGCAACCACATCCTGTATCGGCCGCCGCGTAGCTTATCTGCTGCAGATAGCAGGGTGGATAAGCCTCCCAGCTGTTTCTCGTGAGATGGCGAAGGATCGAAGTGCACAAAAGTTAACTTGGCAGCGGAAAATAAAGTCACTAACTAAAAAACTGGGTACCGTTGGCCCGTCTCGCCTCCCAGTCTGGAATCCGCGTGACTCATCTTGTGATTGGCTTGAGAGGTCACATTACACGACCAGCAGTCGGCACCAGTGACGTGTTTGGTGCCGTCTCCTAGTCGGACTGGCTATTTAAAGTGTGTCTGGTGCTGAGTTAGCTGCGGGATAATGGATCACTATGATACGCGGCAGTGAGAGCCGTGAAAAAGCTGTCCCGTTGATGCTTTATATATTCAGGATATATATATTTATATATATTTGCTTTATATCTTTATATATATATATTTGCATGATATATATATATATATTATATTTGCATTTATATATATATATTATATATTTATTTATATATTTATTTATTTTTATATTTGCATGATACCTTGCTGTTTGTGACGGCATATTGTTGACAAGGTGTAGGTACATTGACCCTGAATGTTTGCTTCGGTCATTCAGGTTTTACACTTCCTCGTTATAATTCCATGTCCCGTAGGCTACCGCTGCTGTAAAGCGACGAAGCATCAGTTCAAGTGGCTGATGTATTGCTGCTGTTAATGGCGATGAATACCTTTGTGTACATGATAGAAAGGAGTAATGATATTAGGGCGAAGATCACGAAAAACTAAACCCACGTGGAAGTGATAGATTACGCAATACCGTAAGCAACACACAAGCGGGGGATCTACAGAAAGGTCCACAATGTCCGGAGCATTCCTTCCAGACGAACTAGTGCTGAGATCTTCGCAGCGTTATTCGGTAAAAAGAAGACTGACTCTGTGGTAGTACAAAAAAACCGCGTCGGACAAGCTGCAGTGAATACCCGATCAAAGTATCGGACCAATAAGGAGATTTGGAAATAAATGGGCCGAAAAGCGAAGAAAAACTAATCGCTCTAAGTCATAACTGAGTGCAATATGCTGACTCAGGATGAATTGATGGTGCATGGCTTGTTAACTTGAGACAAAGGCTCAAAAGCGTTATATGCCCTGCGTCGGAGAATGCTGGCCACCACATGCAGAATGGTGAAGAGCAGCTAAAACCGTAAGGATACCATTGCCAGTAGGCAGAAATAAAGAAAGCCGTAGTCGAATTCGGCACGTGCTCAGGTTGCGGGAGTAAATGACCACACTTCAAATGTGACTATGAGGATTTCGGTAGAAATCAACTACTGAGTCGGTGTTCAATACGTCGTAGTTTACCAAACGAACTGAAAGGACGATAAGAACAGAAAAAATGACAGCAACTCCTGCGGAACCTCATTTTATATCGAAGAGACTGTAACGAGAGAATTCGATGCGAATAGAATCGCATTAACCACTTCGAGACCGACGTAAATCGAAGCAAATTCATTCACCAGATGAATGGAATGTATGGGAGACAGATTCACAGGAACAAATGCCAAGATGATCGCCAATGTGCTAACATTCCACATTTTAAACTATAAAAATAGGTTGAAGGAGGAAATGGTTGTTAAAGAAGAGAGGCTCTGATGACACTATCTGTATGCCTTTCAGAGCTCCGTTTCCGCCCAACTAGGAAAGAAGGACAAGATGCTGGAAAAGGCGATTAATGCTCCCTTCATCTTCTCTATACTCATCCACTTTTAACAATGACCAGGTGCAGCGTAATATGCGTTCCTGTTCTGCAGGTGGAGTTCATCCTGGTTTGTGTCTGCGGCGTAATTGTCTGCCGAGCAAGAAGAGTAGAAGCATCACATATCGAATAGGACACTAAGATATGCGATGGGTCATTAGAGAAGAACCAGAGGGGATAAGGGAATAGGGGCCGGCGCAAACACCCAATGACCCATGAAACAGATATCGTCAACAAAGAGGGACACAATGATCGGATCACAAAAATACCGTGTAAAAAGAAGGGCAATTAGGCGTGAACGCATTGGGGAGCAGATAAAACACAAAGGATGGTGAGAGCACTATGGTGTTTCGTGTCTGATTCATCTGAAATGCAATGAATCAAGAGTCGTAGAAACGGAACCGGAAGATGGAACAATCAAGTTGCGGGTCGTATAGGCAATGAGAAACTTTGTGCTAACTTAGCTGGAGTATGAATGCCCCAGTCATCGCAGACAGGCGATTTGAGCAGGTGGTTGTTGAACGCTGAGATCGGTCGCGTAGCATAGATCGGAAAAAAAGCATGAATGCATTGATACAGCAGAGAAGCGGATAAACAGTACTTACCATACCAATGAGACGACCAACGAAGTGAAAGTAACTCAAATGGTTCGGATTTACGTGGGAGGCCGGGTTAATTTGTAGACCATAGTTCTTCCCGGTGTATTCGAATAAACCGAACATGGGATTGAAGATTTCTCTGGACAATCCGTAAAACCACTCCCTAGGGAAAAACGAATGAGAGCAATCATGGTAAGTGGAAACTCGTGTGTTAACCCTGCTTGTGAGGTCATGATCTAAAGCAAAAATATTAGCAGTCAGTCCAACTGTGAGAAGTAGCACAGCAGTATGTATGATATGCTATCTCCTCAGCGTTACAAGACTAAGCGTGGATTTTCTAACTTAAGTAAGAGAGCAAGTCCCACTCTTTTAATGAGTTAATTATTCCTTTGACTGACAGGCACCGAAGAAGAGTTGCGTTATGCTTGTGAATCAACGGTAACTATGGGCACACATACAGGGCAAAAAGTCAAGCTGAGAAAAATGGGGGAAGTGTTTTGAGGCAGTGGTGGATAAGCAAAGGTTTGTGAAAACCGCGCCCTGCGCACATCGTTGATCATGGGTGTATGCCTAACAAATCCACATAAGACCTGACATACGCAGTCTCGGGTATTGCATCAATTCTTAAAGTGTGCCCATTAACCATCAACGTCCACCTTGCCATGTTGAGACAGTTGCCAAGCTTACTCAGGAATCGGATGATCATATCTTAGTGAACCGGCGACTTTCGGTGAACTGTGCCACAAGGTGCATCAAAAGTTCCTTTTGAGTGGCAGTTGAAGAGCTATCCCGGCACTTGGTCGGGTAGAGACATTGGGATGTCCGACACATCAACATTTCGCCTAAACAGGCTAAGGAAATAGGATTTGAGTGGAATGCTATCTTGACTGTTATGCACGACGCAGAAGCTTCAGTCTGCAGCTTTATCAGTCGTCAGCACATCAGGTCCATGAACCTATCGGAATCCAGAAGAAAAATTCCAGTCGCAACCGATTACAACGTAACTAGACGCGAATCAGAACGAAGCTTGTGTGCTGACAATGATGACCGATGGACTCAAAGCGCTTGAGAAGTGGAGAAATCATGTGTAATTACCACAGAGTTTTCTAGCTAATCAGAACCGCTGGTCGCAGAAACGGCAAAGGTACTTTAACTCGTAATAAGAAATGTCGTCTGGCTCCTTGCGTGGGATCACTTTCGAAAACACGTCAATTGGCACGTTACCCCTGGATCTCTTAATGCTCAGGTGGTGCAGACCGAACTATGGCTGGTTAGTTTGAAGACTCCATCGGATACTGAGGTTCGAAATATGAGCACAGTTGTCATTCCCTTTCGCGCAATCGGGCCACATACCTTTGCGACAGTACTATGTAAGGATGGTAGTGAGGTCCACTGGAAATAAATACACCTGGTCACATCAATATAAAAGAGCAGTCACGCCGGTTGTGCTACTCAAAGGAGTTGCAAACGTGACGCCAACAGTGATACAATTACCGAACAAAACTCCCTACAGCCGTCTTATTGTGAATCAGAAATCTGGATGAGGGAAGTGCAGGTCTGATTTTGACCAGGCTGATGTCACGTGCTACGCTACTACTCTGTGGTAGGTAGTAAAGTATCCTCGTACGTGTTGAAGACTAACTACAGCTTTGTCTTTTGACCTCAATGGTTCGCTCAATTCAGTCGATCGGTCTGTTTTCCTCGAAGTACCTGCACGGACAGATGTTTCCATGAAATACGTAGACAGTTACGTGTCATGTCTTCGAAGACCGTATATTGCGTTGGTCTACGGTCAATTGCCGTTAGACGCCATTCCGAAAGCAAATGAACCTTTAGTGAGCTGTCCTATTTCCCAGTCGTGGTTCGATGCTATCGTGGGAATCTCAAGATGTGAGAACTAAGGTGCTGCAGGGTGGAAAATCTGTCTTTCCAGATTATTCAGGCAGTATTGTCTTGCCGTTTGACAACCGTAAGACTGTCCAGTCAAGGCACCAGTAGTACGCCGGTACGCAGTACCGAGGTTTCGCTGTAGCGCAACCACAACCGACCGCATGTAGGCTAAGGATACTGCGGGGTCGCCCTACCCCCACGCAGGTTCGAACACGCACCCTCAGATTACAAGGCAGGATTGTTATCCTTAAGGCTACGAACCGGAGACTGTCTAGGCATGGATGGACTCACTAGAGTGGTCCCATCATTTGGTATGTTTCCTGCCTTCAAAGTGCAATGCTATTGCAGGTCCATGAGTCAAATGATGGTCTTTCGACTCTGAATCCCGAAGAACTAGAAGCAGTTCACAGATTCACGTATCTCAGCATTTGCATTGGCATTTGTGGTTCCATGATGTGATTTGCTCAATATGAAAAACAGTGTATACAGGGACACAGTGAGGGCCGTCCTCTACCGCAGGAGTGAGGCATGGCCTCAGCGTTCTGAGGATCGGAGAAGCATTCAAATCTATGAGCATCGGTGCCAGGGGTACATTGCCGGTGTCCGATAGCACAGACAACCGAAGCGGGCTAAGTATTGTTATTCAGATGTTTGATGACGCATGACCAGAGGCGGCAGATGGTAGTTCGGTAATAGCAAATAAAGTGGCGAATGACTAAACTTGATGATGCTGGTCCATCTCCCCTTCAAGGACGAAGACTACCCAGCAGAGTCTGAGCATATCTCGAGACCCAAGACGGTATGCTCGCGTTACACCACAGTGGAGCGTCTCCTGTCGTCCTCTCATCGGGCAATCTGTCCAAATTGTGTTTGGTGCTGAGTTGTTTGCGGTATGAGGCTGAATGAGGCACAGCAGCTAAACAGCAAAGAAGCAACCTTGGCGATGTTCCGTTACCTTTGTATGCTAAACAGATGAAATCAAAGTGTTTTCTTCAATCATTTTAGCTCATTACGCTGTTTTCAAAGTCATTCTCAGTAGCCACCATTGTTTTTAACAGTGTTTCTACACTTGAAATTTTAGCATTGTAGCCACCAGCCGATGTTACAAGTATACTTACCAAATGTCTTGCAATCTCACAGTCAATCAAGAATAAATTTTGTGCCACTAGCCATTCAAACAACATACGTAGTTCGCCTTGTCGAATGATGTTATTTATCGCCTATGATCTAACTGTAAGAATCTTAAAGCAAAAGCAGTCGATATATTACATAATAACTATTTACTATGACACATTGCAGAAATGATCTCCTTAGCAAGGAATCAAGTTCGACAGTGTTCCGTAGAATACCTGTACTTTGGATTTATCGCATCGCCTCAAAACCCCACTCTACCTATGTGTTTAACTTGATTGAACACTCTTTCAAATGAAAGTAGGGGACCGTGTAAACGGGAAATTATTCGTAAAGTATTCACAAGGTCGAAAGCGGTTAGCCTGTGGGTTTATTAGGGAAAGCTGCCTTATAGCTGCGCAGAAAGACCAGCTTCAAGAAAGACTTGGAAATAACCGGTCGGTATAGTTTGTGGGTAATCTTCCGCTTTTGAAACCAAAACTTCCTCAGACCGAGTAAATAAGTCAAGGATTGGTATAGCACTTATAACGAACTGGGATGACAATCGCGACGAATGGGATGTAGGCAGAAGAGCAATCGCGGTACAGATCAACGCATCACTCCAAATAGTGCATGGAACGGTTACAAGTGGTCCGTCTTACCGCCCCACACGTAAATCATGTTAACGATGGGTGCGAGGACGATGTGGTGTTCATTCTCTGCCCTGGATCCGTCCGCCAGCGATCCTCAGACTTGTCGCATTAAGACAGCTCGCTACACGTTCGAAAGCTATGCCCCGTCTATTCGGTTTACGCAGTAGCTCACCTCGCTAATCTCAACCGTCTTTGGGGCGTTGATCGTAGCCTCTTTTTAACGATTTCGACGTTATCCAAGTCGATCTCATGACCTGCATCTGTCGCGTGCATCACTACTACAGATTACCCAAGTAGATCCCTATATTTAAGCGCGTTTCTCGATGGACGTGTTATGCGTCACCTGTGTGCTGCCGCAATGCTCGGAAGATGTAAAGCATTTGTGGCCTATCTAAAAAGTGTTTGCCCTTCTGTTCATGCAATTCACTTTGTGATTCATTCAGTGGCTAAGCAATCCGGAGGGCGCTTAAACGATTCACTGTAGTAGTCAACAATACCAAATCACACCCTCTTCAAGATTGTCATTTTCAGCAGCTCTGTGAGGAGCAGTGGAAGATTTCCAAGTCCTACTGTTGCATACAGGAGTTAGATGGCTCTCTATGGGCAACTGTTTTCACCGTTCTGTTTCACTCTGGTATCCCATTAGCACATTTCTTTTTGGAACTGATCATGAGAGAAAACTGTGTACATCTAAGTCAGACGTATTTAAACTGGATGCTGTTCTTGAAAAAATCAACATAATAAATAAAACTCATCCAGAGTTGAGTTAGCTCATCTCGAGCAAAGAAGCCGTTCTCACTGTTCCTAACATGCTGGAAGTGCTTACTCAAAACATCAGACATCAGGAATTCTCACAGCTCCAAATTCTCGCTATCGTCACGGAGGAGCTAAAGAAAGAAGATGATAACTTAAAGGCATGTTCCATGACGGGATGGACACATAAATCCCGATTTGGATTCCAGGTCCATTTGATGTACAGCCCTGCGATGTTAGAGTTAAAATCCAGTAATGTCTCATGGAGCTTCAAACGGACTTACTAGCAGGGTCCAAATTCGCGCAATATAAAAGGGACTTTTCGGTTAAAGACTGATCCCCTAACCGATATCCCTGACTGTGGGAAATAGCTGCTTTCCCATCCACATACCTGACTGAATGTGGATGCAGCAACGTGGTTTCTCTAACCAAAATTATAAACAGATGGAGCGTCGCAACAAGAGTAGATCTTCAACTCTCCTTGTCAAGTCTAGAGCCGAACGTTAGCAAGCTTGCTCCAAGACATCAGACTCAAGGCTCGCATTAATGTCTCGAAAACCAATGGTTACGAAATCACTACATCTAATTCCTGACACGCTTTACAGATAAATGCCAACGATAACTAAATACGATTTTAAATATTCCTGGTGACATTTGTGTACTTATAAACAAGTGGCCGTACAATGAATGTTATCTTGAGGCTGTGAAATTAAAAATAGGTTTATGTAGAAAACAGCAGTGATGCCCACATTAATAC